GATCGGTCTCGCCCCGCTCCTGTTTACAGGAGCATTGGAAGTGGACATTTAAATAGGTGTTTAGGGTATTAGGCGCAAAGTTATTGCTTCACAGGATTACACGCGCAGACGACTGTTCTGGGGAGACGTTGTTTTCCAAGCCGTCTGCATACATGAGTGCTCCAGTGGGTGGGGTGGGGTGGGGGAGGTGGGGTGACTTATTGCCCCAGTTGTGATTAGTTTATGAGGGAAACCGAAAACGCCTCACAACCTCTCGCGCCACTTGGTCACACAGTCAGCTCCCACTGTCAAAAAATTTGCCCGTGATTAAATTTATTTCCCTGTGTATATTAATAATGAGTATTTTCATCCAGCATTTCGCCTGTAGCGCTGGATTGATCCTAAATATAACAACTCTGCAAATTCTACTTTTGTTATTATTTGTTTGTTTTTGACATTAACAGCTGGGGAAATAATTCAAGCCTGATATTTTAAAATCCGTCGATGTCAGACCTTCACGAATTTTGTTACGCTCAAAATCGTTTCCAATGAGGGTGAAGGTGAATGTGAAGGAAATCTTGTTGACTGAAAGCCTAATTGTGCTGTTAAGCGGGGAGGGGCGTGGTGACGCATAATGCGACAAAAATGGAAGCGCCAAATAGGGTGCCTCTCTTTACAGACTACAACAAGGTGAGTGCAAGCGGAGGAGGAGGAGGAGGAGGCACGGGTGTGATACTTCAGCCCGGGATGTACACGCAAGGTGGACAATTCTTCCGCAAAGACTGTGTTGAAGATGACGGCGTTCCAGATCCTGAGTGTGCAGTCTTCTTGACCAACACGCGCTCCGCCACCGCTGCCCGCAATGCTGGCTATCAGACGCTTTTCAACACCACCGCGTCTTCACCCGGCTGCCGACAACAACCACCACTGCCGACGGTCACAGTGGCGAGCGAGTCGATGGAGGCGGAAGCCGAGGCGTTTGAAGCCAGTGCAATCCCACCAAGCGCCTTTGAACTTGTCGGAAGCTCTGCTGCAGCTACTGCGTGGCGCAAGGACCTTGCAAAGAAGGGCATTGTTAGCTCCTCCTTCGTTTGAACTTACATGTTAGTGGCACAGACAAATGCACTCACCTCCCTCCCTCTCTTCTTCTTCTTTTGCTAAATATCATATTTAGTGCTTTATTATTTATTTCATACTCTACCCATCAATGTGATGTGCGGGACAGTGAGAGACGGGACTTTGGCACAAATGCCGCAATGAATGCTTCCTTCTCACTAAAAGGAGGCATTTAGTGCAATTGATAAAGTACTTACGGAAAAAGGAGAAGGAATGGTATGGGTATTCAAAAAATAATGGGCCAAATGATATTTAAATTGGATTTTTCCATTTACAGTCATGAGAATAGTAGCCAAGAGTATTGTGCTAGTAGATTTCACAGAATGCGAACAAGTATTCCAATAACACAAAGCAGACAAACATGGCACACCTTTTAAAATTAAATCAGCAAACTTAATTAATTAGTTAGATAAAGAGTAATTTTAACTAAATTCCCAAAAAGCAACAATGCTCTGGTGTGCATTGTTTTGAATTCCGATGCCGTCGCAGATGGAATACGAGAGCAGCACTTTGCTGCCTTGTCACCTCACCTCACCGACAAAAGCCCCTCGCCTCATCTTACCAATAGGATGTCTCTCCTCCCCCAACCCTTCACCCCCTCCCTCGGTGTGGGGCGTCGCATCTCAGCCGACGCAGATGTAACCATTTCCAGTGTGGCATTTTGCCCCGACCCCTTCAAGTGGGGCAGTTAATGTGAGGAATTGACTTACAAAACAGTTCGGCTCCAGCACAGAGCAACTTTGCCTCCTTTCCTAATTACACCGTAAAGGTAAGAAGTGGATCATTTGGCAGTAATCCGAAAACCAAACTTGTTATTTCAGTAAGAAGTGGTGGTGAAGTATTGCGATATGAAAGGAGTTACTTTTACCTCTAACAGCCATTTTTACAAAGTGAGTCCTTAGAAAGGCTTAGAAATGCAAATTGTGTACGAGATTTTATTTACGAAAGGGCAATTTGACCCGATGGATTTCCCCCCGCCGCCCACCATTATGAGGCCCTTTTTCTGATGCCTCAGCAGGCGGTGCTATTTGAGGAGTGGGATTGAAGGGACCGCAATTAAGCGTCACGAGTGGCATACACATACACACACAAACATACATGCCAACCTCGAGCTGGTTTACCAAATAACTTGGCATTACGTCAAGGCATTCATGAAAGTGTTGCGAAAAAAAGCGCTTTCTTCAGCTTTAATTCACTCTGTCCTCCTTCGCTTATGAGTTGCAAAATTTTTCTTCTCCATGGGCCACCTAGACATGGAAGACCACCCTCACAGTTAACTGACTTGCCCATCTGCCGCGGCTGCTCATCCCAGGGGAAGCTTATAACTGCCCAACCAACTAAATTTCTCATGCGTGAGATTATTTATCATCCATGCCCATTTAAATGAGGAGGAGGAGGATGAGGCGCGCATCTATTTTTCCACTTTGGGTGTGCCACGCACTGTTGTAAACGGAGGCAGGAGTGAATTAGTCCTCTCTTGCTCGCTCAGTGTGTGTGTGTGTGTGTTTAAAATGGGTACACTGAGGGGTATGCTAGCGGCGCTAGCCATAAAACCTCCAAATTAACACCTAGCCACTCATCCATCCACCCTGGGCCAAATGTAACGACGTGAGGCCGACTGTCAACAACGAGTAGGCCCCGCGCTCACTGCTTCTTGTCTCCCCACCCCTCCCCACCGCACGCCTTCACATGCGCCAGCAGGGCGAGTGGACTCGTGACAAGTTCCCTCCCTCCCTCCCTCCCTTCCTCCCTCCATCACCCACTTACGCCATGTTTACCAAATAATTCATTAGCGAGAACTTTTGGGCCTTTTTTTAAATGTAAGTTTGACTTGGCTTTCTTACTCCAGGCTTGTTCATCATTTTGAGGAGAGAAACACACCGAATTTACATTTGACAATTGTTGTATCGAAATCATCAGACCCGTCGTACTGGAACACGAAATTATCACCGCTTTGGAAGTGCACTATCTTACAAGGTCAATGCTGATTTCAAAATCGAATCAGTCGTAATGAAAATGGGAACTGGCACGACCTGAGGAAATGCCACTGGCCCATGCAAACAAGGAGGTGAGGTGGTTCTCCACGCATTTGTGTATGTGTGTGTGTGTGCCTCTTTCACTGCAGAAATGTGCCCCTGCATTAGTCGTTACGACTAATGGATTGTGTTTTCGAGGCAAATCGGTGATGCGATCAGCCATTTCGCCGCCGCCGCCACCGCCGCCTTTCCCATTGCTAAGTAGGATTCCCCTCAGGCGAGAACACTTTAACCAGCAATGGCAGCATCCAAATTAAACTCGTTACTTTGTCTTTCTCTCTCTCTCTCTCTCTCTCCCTCGAGAGAGACAGGGAGTAATTGCATGAATTCTTCGCTCCGGAGTTTATTTCAAACGCCATCAACACGAAGTCGTAAAATGAGAAAAACAAACTTAATTGTAACTAATGGAGGTTGGGTGTCACGCAAGGCCAGGGTGAAGAAATTCGCGTAGACAGTTGAAATTGGTGGCGAGGTAGCCCAACCCAGCCACGTGAGGTTTTGCGCGACTTTAAGCATAGAAAATGGATTATAAGCGAGAGTTTGTTTAAAGTTTTCAAATACTTAAATATTTAAATTAATCAGCTGCGATCATTATTGAAAGAGTCGATTTTGATTGTAATGCCACTAGGAGAATGCAATTGCCATCACTTGGCAGGGCGTGCGAGCGACATGAAAGAGACGCCGGTTCGATGGAACGAAGCAGAAGGAAGCGGCGACGGTGTCCAATTTGTCGAAACACCTCCCACTAACTGCGCTAAATTAGTTGTTTCGTATCAAAACCACGCCGATACAATTTGCCCTGTGTGTGTGATTTGCATCTTCTCAATGCAAGGTGGCTATTCAATTTATCCACCCGGAGAAAGCTACAGCCAGATTAAGTTTACAAAGGTGTATAGAAAATTGCTCACACTTTTGATAATATCAACGATTTTCCTATAAATGGAAAATGTTATGGCTATAACATTTCATGGTTTTGAGATGAGTCGATGGGCGTTTAATGCCACCGGTTTGCAACTCTGACTGAGCTAGATCTCTAGGCAGGCCATAATCTCCCCGCATATTTGATTCATGCTTTATTTGTTTGGGTCTTTCCAGTTATCCTGCATTTTCATTAAATGGAGATTCGTTTTGCTATCAGGTACATGTGTTAGCAGCTGTCTGAATTTAAAGCAAAAAGCAGACTATCGCAGAAAATTCCTAAGAAGCTGCTTTCTTTTCCAAAAAGGCGCTTTATGAAAAGGAAATTCCAAAAGATACCAACAGCTGAGACGGAGATTTGGAAAAGGCTTCAGTCCGTCGGATGAATTTTGTGGTACCGCTTAGTGTGCCTTAAGTCATTACTAGCACAGAGCTACTAACTCCTGTCGGAGGCCCGAATGTCGTTTTTAACTTGCTACCAGTAAACTACGAGTGCAAATTTTACTCTGTTTTCTTCCACAGCTCTCACTTTCTGATCAATTTCACAATTGACGGCCGCACTTGTTTCGCACACGGGACGGGATGAGAGATGGGCACCTTCTACTTATAAGCGATCAGTAGGGGTGGTACCCAAAAGGTCGATAGCAAGTACTGCTACTGCCGCTGCGACTTTCCACTTGGGTGCTCAATTCAATTCTCTCCCAACATCCTTGTCAGAAAGAGCTCGTTCGTGCTACTTTTCAGTTACCTTAGTTATTCGTCAGTAGCAACACATTCATCGCGATGAGCAAGTGGTTGTGCGTTCATGTCTTTATTCTTTTCTTGTGTATGCCTTGTAAAACAAGACGGTTAGCAGTTCTTTTATAAAGGAATTGAACCTTCTTCAATTACTGTGCTCGCTTTTCACTCGCCATTCATTTGGATTGGGGAATTTACCTCTGAGCGTGAATGGGGTCATACACACCACAAGTTGAAAGGGTAGTTGTAAAACAGTGAAATGAACACCAAAACCAAGCCAATTAGTCATCC